TTTTTTTTTTTTTTAGTTTAAAGGAAAATGCACTTTTTTGCTCTTTGACGTTATCTGTAGTAACAGCTAAAAATGTAGATTCTCTTTCTTGTGCTACAGTTTCACAGCAGAGTAGATAAATCCTTTTTCAGTTGCACTGGAGAATGAGAACTGAATTATGAGGCCTTAATGTACTGCTCTAGTGAGATGTCTTCAGTACTTAGGAAAACTGAATATGGCATTCAGCTACAGTTAGCGCACACAAACAAGTGTTTCTCTTAAAGCACCCCACGTTTGAGAAAATCGGAGTTCTTCAATGTCTTGTGTGGGACTTAACACTAAAATGCTCTCAGCCAAAGCTCTACTTCCAAAGGGATCTAGAGCCTTGGGCTAAGATCTTTGTGGAGCGAGCAGATGGCCGTACACAGAATTGTTCTTAGTGTAGTGTGAGAAAGTGCATTTTGGTCAGTTTCTCTTTGTAGGATACTGTAAGACCTGCAGAAAAAAGAAGTGATTCTTGCTTCCTAAGAGCTGAAATCACAGTGCTGTGTTTTCCCTGCAACAGTTAATGAGAACTCAAGTTCCAAAATTCAGAACAGAGAGCAAATTTCTATGCACCTGGTTTAGCGTAAGTGCTGCTGAGGGAGCAGGAAACGAAGAACCACACACACCAGTTTTACCTGTGAAAGTGCTTTTCTGTTCACCTGTTATTTTTTCACTCTCAACTGACCTCTTTGTACCTATTAAGTCTGTGTATTTCTGCAAATGATGACCGACATAAAACAGTGAGCGAAGATCAGTTTTATTCTGAATATTGGTTGTATTTCTTTGTTTTTAATTCATTACAGGAATTCTTACATTTATAAAAATTTCCATGAAATCAGGACTCAATATTCCTGAGAGAAAATGTTCTTGTCTGATTGTTCTGGTTCATTCAAGAGCCTGGTCTTATTCTCATTCGCATGAGCAAAGATTTTTAAATAATAGACTTAATCATTTAAGTAGGGTAAGCAGTGTTGTTATAGCTAAGACTGGACAAGTCACTGTTGTTTTTTTACACAATAGAGCTCCAAGAGAAAGCCTTTAAAAGGACACATTTACAATTCCATTTGTCCACCAGTGTTATCAGGTCACAGCGAATGACACACTAACAGTTGTTCAGTCTTTCCTTGGACATCATTGCTTTTAATGCCTGAGTAAAGAATGAGTAAATTCTGAGTAAAAGCCTCAGATGTTTTGTAGAAAGATGTGTATTACTTGGGTAAATAATTAAATTGCTGTGTTTTTTTTAAGACATTTTTTCAGCAAACCCTTGCAGGCAATAGGAAAAGGATTGTTTTAAATGTATTCTTTGAATATTTTAATGTATGAAATTGTCATCTGAGAAACAAAACTATTTAATGGGAAAAATCTCATACACGCAATTGCTAATCAAATCTCTCTTCAACAGCAAAGCATTTTTCAAATCCAGTGAAATTTTCTAATCGACTGCCTAGTGCTAGCGCCCACACACAGAGCCCTTGCCATGCCAACTCTTATAGCTACGGTCAATGTAGTGAAGACACCCACATAGCAGCAGCTGCTGCTATCCTGAACCTTTCCACCCGCTGCAGGGAAGCAGCAGAGATCCTCTCCAACAAACCACAGAGTCTGTCTGCCAAGGTAGGGTAGTCCAAGAACCTGGAGGGTGTGCTAGCTACTGAACTGTGCGAATAAACTGTCTTTCATGTTAGTGACTGCATTAAATCCCCAAAAAGGAGGCTTCAGTTTGCATGCTCTTTTGAAGAGAGACAGAGGAAAAAAATCAGTAATGTAGTGACCAGTTCTGAGAAAAATAAAGAAGTAGCAGGAAATATGTTGTTAACTCTTTTCCTAATTGAGACTTAAATACAAGGGGGGAGTTTTGTGGGAGGAATAAACAAGGTTATTTGAAATCCAGCAACAATCTGTCATGGATAAGGAGTTAGATCTGCTTAAAGAGGAAATTTTCTTCCCTCTGAAACCTGCCATGAGGATTATTTTGTAGGCTGATTTTAAAATAACAATACTTAAAAAAATGTAATTAATCAAGGTGGTATTTTGCTAGCAATGGAACAGAACTACATTTATTGACTCTGCTGTGTTTGGAGCTCATGACAGTTTGACAAGGTGTAGTGAGAGAAACAACAATTGACTTATGTAAAATTATCCTTTCTGCTGGCAAGGGAAGAGAATCAGGCCCACAGCGTTTGGAGACAGATAATTTAGGCAAGTCTGTCATAATGGAAAGCTGCCTAATATTGTAGATGTTTGAGTGGCTTTCATGTTTTGGTTTCTGCTCTGCATTTCCTCACAGATCTTTATGATTTACAAATAGTACTGTGTGAGCTATGAGCCTTATTTTCTGTGCCATTACATAGTATTATATTGCTGATGAAAATAGACAAAATTTTCTTCTGATGACTGTGGTCATGGGAGCACTGTTGTTTATTATTTGTGTTAAAGTCACACATGCTCCACCGAAATAAAACTTTTGAAAGCTCTGTGTAGATGAGAAGGTCCTATTGGAAGAGCTTGAAAAGAAATCACTGGGGAGCAAAAAGAGATGTATTTATCAAAACACAGAGTAGCAGGTGTGTTTCTGTTGTGGGAGAGTTATGATGTGTGCTCAAAAATACAGATGACCTGTTTATCTGCAATTCAGTGTTGCTCTGCCTTGTCTGTTTTAGCACTAGGCTCATTCTGCCTAGAGGTCTACACTTTGGTTGGGCCTTCATTCACCATCGCTAAGAGGTCAGCTATTATTCTTTGAGTGGAACCATTAGTTCATTCACTCATTTACCATCATAGCAACTCCTTGTTAGGTATTTCAAGTCTTACTCCTTTGCAGAATAATCTCCTCTAAATTGCTGCCTTTGATTTCCACTTGTGGGGTTTTGAATCTTGAAACCCATGTTGGGAGATGCCATGACGAAGACTTTTTAGAGTGTGTGTGCATGCATCCCCTGTAACTCAGACATTATCTGTCCCAATAATTGCTCACAGAACCTTTTCCAGATGGCTGGTCCATTCCTGATATCCGCAGCAGAAAGCTTCCACTGATCTTCAGTAGCGACTCCTTCTAGCAGGGAAATGGAAACTGATGCCAATGGCTGGATTAAATTGCTGCTACAGCCTTTGGCTGACCTCAGCAATAGACCTTCTTGCCAGGGAAGAGCAGTAAAGGGACCAGGCATAACCTAAAGATTTTCTCCTCCGTATCTGCTTCCTTGTTGCCAAATCATGGGGAAGATTTGAATGGAAGTGAACATAATAGTAATGAAATGGAGGGACACTTGGGGCACATAGCTTCCTCCTTTTTCACAGCCAGGAATCCAGCCTAAAAGAAAATCACCTGCTTACCTTGCTATCTGCCTGCTTCCCCTTTTGCCAGACTTACTGGAAGGCACACTGCTACAAAACATATGACAGAAGAATCAGAATTAGCTTCTGGCCACAACACCAGCAAGTAAGGCCCAAGCAGTTTTGATGGTCAAAACCACAGAAAACCCATTTTTATTCGGTTTTGGCTATTCATTAATTTTATCACACAGGATTCAAACAAAAAATGTGGAAATAAATCACCAGACTCTCTTCAGTGAACATGCTTTCTATTTTAAAATATGAACAAAAAAAATACAGCTATTCGTAAAGGGACTACTATCTATTTATCAATGTTTCTAAACTATTTTGTGGCTGGCCTTGGCTGCAAAAGCAAATCTTTAACTGCTAGAACATCTTACAAATTTTTAGATGATAAAAAATCATCTCTTGAGGCTTTATCGGTGTTTGGACTCAACGCAGTGTCAATGTATTGCTACAGAGTTAATGATTTCCTTTTTTTTTGCTTTTGATAGCACACCCATTCACCAGGTCTGAAAATACTTGTGTGGGGTGGCTGTGTTCAGAGCCCCACAGTATCAGACCTCTCAGCACTCCTCCTTGCCACTTTTTTAGTTGTTTTTTTTTGCCTAAAAAACCTGATTATCATTGTCCATAGTTTAGCAGATCAAAGCTCCTGACTGGCAGAGGTGTTGGCTTTAATATGAGTATCAGGCAGCTTCCCAGCTATCAAACCATGACACACTTTGCAGGTGGGAAACAGTGTGGTGGTAGGACAAGGACATGTGGGACTGCAAATTTCCTGGACTTATAGGAAATTATTTGCAAGTTACACAATTGCTGGAGCTGTAAAAATATTGTGATTCCAAGTTTTAAAAACTGAACTTGAACTTCAAACATTTCAAGCAAGTGTCATTTTCTTGTATTTGCTCAAGGCAGGCATATGCTTAAACCAAAACATTTGTGTATTCCTGAAGTATATTTTTTTCTTTCTATCTCTCAAATTTTATTTCTTGATCTCCAGTGTTGCCCATTTTTCAGTGAGTTAGATGTTTTCCTTTTAATGTTCATCACTTTTCTGTAATTAAAGATAACGCTTACGTGAAAAAGTAAATAGTTTTGCAGCACAATTCCAAATGTCATTAATTTAATGGATTTTCAAATATATATCTCACATTCTCTACATAGCAGCTGAAAGGGACAGTCTAAGACAAACAAACAAAAAAAACAAACAAAAAACAAACAAACAAAAAAGAGAAATCAAATTAACACGTTCACAGTATTATTGGTCAGAAAAATTTCCAGAGATATAATGTGCAAAGATGAGCTGCAAAGTAACTCAAGATAAAAAGTATGAATTTATAAATTAAGCAATTTAAAGAATAAATTTATTGTGACATGTGCAGTAAAATGGATCCAAAGCTGTCTCTAATAATTATCTATCAGCTGCATAAGAAATACTAAGATCATTAGTTACCTTGATGATACTGTTTTCCAAAATAATTAATACCACATTAATGTTCATTGTCTGAACCATTCAACCTCAACCTGGGGCTGTAGTAAACTGTTGCCCTACATACAATCTGAATCAGCCAATTCCAATGCAGTCAGCACCCCAACCAAGTCTTCTGGTTGCATTTGGTTTGCAGTTTATGTAGCTTAATTCATCTCCCACTGCAGTCAGCAGAAATCTCCTAGAAGGCTTCACCTGCAGTTTCTAGCATAGTGCAAGAGACTACATCATCATAACATCCAGGGATCTTCCCTGTTTTCAGCTCTCACCACATTCATGTCTCATAGAGGTAGCTGCAAGCAATACAGTTTATCTGTATCCTCATCACTACTGCTTGCCAAACATTTTGTTGACTGTTTTGGTGATTTTCCCACCTGTTTAGACAAAATGACATATGCACACTATGCATTGAAAGAAAACAAAAAATGACACTTGCTAAAAATGTTTAAAGTTCAAATTCTGTTTTTGAACAAAATTATGTCATCTCTCCATTCCTGGATATTGATGATGGTGATAATTACATCAATTATTTCAAAAATGTAGTTAGTAGTCAGCACATTTGTCAGGCAGTCCTTTACTTCAAATACCTTAAATCCTAAATACACATTCAAAAATCAGCCAAGAATATCACTAGGTACCATCCTGTTATTCTGCTGTGCACATTGCTCCTTGAGTACATTCTTGGCTTCCTTTTTTTAATTTGTAAATTGCTCTGGGCTGAAACTGTAACTTCATTTTTTGCTGAGATGTTGCTGGACAGTTAGAATTTTTCTTATTTTGACTCAGATTAGAATTTTAATTTGCTGCAGATGAACTCAATTTCTTAAACTGAAGTCTGAAGAATTGAGAACTAGGTGCATGAATTTTTATTGGCTAGGAATAGAAAAGATTGTACTCTTTTGGATGGAGTTGCATTAATATGATACTGCTTCCAGAGCTATTTTCAATACCAGAACTGAAGATGTCCTTTGATCTTTCCAAACTAGACTAAACTGCTAGTGGGAATGCAAAAATATTGATAATGTTGTTTCTTTGGACTTAGTATTATCTTGTACACTTGATGCCAACGAACAAACACTTAAAACCCCTTATATATTATGATACAATTTCCCTAAGGTGACAGGTTTGAAATAAGATTCATGAAGACACAGTTAAGTCACTTTTTCTGATCCAGCTATGAGATAAAGCGTAACTTGGAGTTGTTACTGGAGACACACTGCAGATCATTAAATATTGTGAGTGATCAGATGGACCAAAACCATATGAAAAAATACAGTACTTTGTGACTAAGACCATTATCCTTTATTGTTTTGACGTAGTTCAGTTCCAAAGACAAGACTTATTAATGTACTTGAAAATATTCTGTAATATTTATGTCATAAAATAGGAGGCTGAAAAAGCTTGACTTTAAAGTACGAAGTACTAAAAGAGGATAGAAATTTTTTGTTGTTGTTTATATATTTATATTAGTCTTCATTTTAGATAGATATTGACAGTAGAGTACTACTTGTACCATATCTTTTCACTTAAGAGATCCTGGAATAAAGAAAATATGCCCCTGTCATTTTTTTCTCATTTTTTATTCTGAAAGCCTTTTTCCAGCTGCTTGTAAAACTCATGCAGGTGATGACACTGTCACCAATGTGGAAGTAGATAAGGAGTAACTCGAATTTAATCAGTGGGTTTTTTCACCAGTGTAAATATAAATAGGATCAAAATCAGGCTTCAAAGATTTGCACAGCTGAAAAGTAAAATAAGTTAGGAAATAATAAGATATATTTGCATCTTTATTTAGCTTACATTTTAAGGAATAATCACAACAGTTTACATTGTTTTGGTAGCTATATTTTAAATATGTCATGATAAATGCATTAATATAGGCTTGTTCACACATGTACTAGAGTTGACATTAATAATATCTTGACTCCACTGAGGAAAACACAGCCTTTACAAGTCTGAGCTAAGCATAGTGCCATTTTCTCTCTGCATGTCATAACACTGCTCTAGCATTTTTTGTCATTTGCCATTTTTGTCTTTTTAGTTCCATTTTAAAATTAATATAACATTAAACATGCTAAAACAAGCAAAGGAGACATATTGAGAGGAGGGTGGGATGAGAGTAGGGATGAAAACTGGAGCAGTATCTCTGACTGCCTTCTCTATTTGCTCTGCCATTTGGAGTTTGCTATGAAGGCAGCAAAGTGATAGCTCTTTTATAACATTCTGAACAAAAAGCCATGCTGTAAACATGTAATCCATCCTGTGATGAGCAAAAGAGAGTATTTTTTCCATGACTATATTTAATTGTTGTGTGCATCTGTGAGCTCACTTAAACCCCATCTGTACACTACTTGACAAACACACAACCCAGCATTCCCTGATCAGAATTAGGTACATGCTGGACAACTCAGCTTCTATGTGAATTTCAGGAAAGTGCTGAGGAAGCTTTACATATCCACATTAGCAAATGTTCTGCATATCAGCCAGAGCTCCTTGTTGTAACTAATGGTATCTGTCTTTCAGAGACAACACATTTCCTGGTAGTTTTCTATGTCCAGTTTCACTGAGGAGGGGATCTTGGCTGGTTTCAGCCCTTTTTGTTGTTGCTTTTGCCTTCTGAGTAGTTGATATTTTGTCAGTGACAGAGACTCTGCACTATTTATGGGTTTTGCACTATAAAACTACTGCAGCCCAGTCACATGGCTTCCTTTCCTAAGCCATCTGTCACAGAGGTCTGGAATTTTATGTGAATGTTGGTTGTGCAGACTTAACCCAAGTTTGTGTGTTTTTTTTTTCTTTTTATTATGAAAAATGTCAGCAACTACAATATTTAGCATTTTACTTTATATTGGTCATTAAACTTGATTACTGTAGCTCTGTTTCATTGCTACAGTTACATATCAAGTACAAAGCCAAAACACAGTGCGGCGATCATGGCAGAGCTATATTGTAAGATCCTGGAGTGTGCACTTGGCACTGATATAGTTAATATCTTGGATTTTTGTAACTAAGGTTTATTAATGCTGATATAAAAATGTATTTGATATTATACAGATGGCATAAGATGTTGTGGTTACTAAGTTATTATCCAGGATAAGCTGCACTGTCAAATTCAGGGCTTAAAACTATCACAGGAGATTAAACTATTTACTAAAAAGGGGCAGAAAGATATAACCAAAGCGTCTTAGTATGAACATATTAGAAGTGTATTTACTTCCCATAAATATAATAAAACATCTCTCTCTTTAAGCTGTAGGATTGAAAATGGGAACTTTGCTATGCAGGAGAAGCAAACATAAGGGGTGTCTGAGTTTCTGAACCAGGGGCAGGCAGACAGCTTGGTAGTGTTTTGGTCTAAGTGAGCATCTGCCTCAGGCCCATGGGTACAAAATGGAGTAAGGCTGTCTGAGTGAGAAGGCATCATTTGGCCCTAAAATGTTTGCCTTTTACCAACATTTTCCTTCTGATGAAAAAGATTTAATCAGACATTTTTTACCTTTAAATGAGTCATCACTGGCTGTGGTAGAAGACAAAGCTGCATGAAGGAAGTTTGTGCCTTCAGTCCAACTGAGGTGGCCATGTCACACTTCCAGCACAAGGGGAGGATTCCTGATTTCACCACAGCTGTTTCTAAGGTCAAAGTTTCACTACGCTGTCTTTAACCATTAAATGGTTAACTAATCATCAAGGTCTGCCAATAGTTAATGGGAAGAAAGAGAAAGTTTTTCTGTCAGGGTCTCGTCTCTTCCCAAGGAAGAGGTCTAAGAAAGATGGAAAAAGTTGCCTCCTGGACATACCTCTCTCTTTTCCATTTACAACAGAGGGTCTAGATGATTTACTTATGCTACAGGTAATGATAATAATAACAGGAAAACACAGACAAGTGTTAATTATGGAATTTTCCAGGTGTAGATCTATGACATTTTTATCTCTATAGTCTTTGAATGCTTTCCACTTTATTCAGGGCAACACACAGAACTAGACTACCAAGTGCTACTCCAGAAGCTTCCTCTTTCACCTCTTCCCCTGCTTGACTTTAGTAACTGTTGGCAATAGCAAAGACTAGTCTTATCCTTATAAACACAATTCATCAATATGCAGTGTTGTATCTTCAGCATGAGGGGAAAATTTTTGTTGCTTCCATTAGTAAGCTGCACTTTCAGGAACTTTTCATCATTCCAAGAAGAGTAGCTTGTACTCTTTTTCTGTGGTCAGGTAGTGTAGAGCAGATCAGGAACCTTATTTTCCCTTGTTTTTCTTGTACATTTGAGCAACACTTGCCCTTTCTTGGGAGCAGGAGCTGCTCTGAGATCTTCTCCCAGCCTAGAATGAGAAGTCGCATACACTGCACACGCTGCAGAAGTTGAACAAACTGCACACATCCCTACAATCAGAGCTTGCTCTTTGCTGTACTCCCCAGGTAGCAAAGGCTTTGTTAACTCATGCTGAAGGTCTCCATTACGGAGAATTTCCTCAACTTCCTCCTATGGCTCCCAGTTTAATGGTCTTAGTGCAGACCTCTGCCTCTGCCTAGTCAAACTGTGATTGAGGCAACATGTTATTTTGAGTGATGTACAAAACCCTAGTGAAATATTTCCAACAGTGCTACTTTTAGCCATATTTCTTTCCCCTCCTTCTCTCCCCCATGATGCAGATATTATAATGTTTCCGGGATGTGGGGGGAGGGGAGGATGTGTAATAGTGACGATGTTGATGGCCTAAACAATGCATTAATGCTTTTAACTGTGAATTGGGGTCATAGTTCACTGTAAGAGCGAAAAGATCAAGAAGATTTAAAGCTAAACTTTTTTTAAATAAAACAAGATTTAGAGTGTATAGTCTATGGTTTAGGGGCATCTTATTTAAATTCTGCTTATTCTGTTTAAGCTGAGATACTGAAGCTATTCAAGTCTGCCTAAGAGTTGGACATTAACTGATATAAATTGAAAAGCTGGTTTTAGATTCAGATAAATTTAAGTCAAAGCATGCATTTATATTTATCCCTTAAAAGCACCACATGGTTATGTTGCAGCCTCACCAAGTCCATATTTAAACATGGTTCTGTTTCCTGTTGCATGTCAGGGAGCTGAGATAGAAGTGGATGAAAATGGCACTTTGGATTTGAGCATGAAAAAGAATCGAAGCCAAGACAAAGTTGTGCCTCTCACTTCTTCCAGAACAGCACTTCCCACTCCTTCCTCTTCTCCTTTCAAAACAAGCAGCATCTTGGTAAATGCAGCCTTCTACCAGGCTCTTTGTGAACAGGAAGGCTGGAATACACCAATCAACTACAGCAAGACCCAATGCAAGAAAGATGAAGACAAAGAGGTATTTTTTGCAGTTTCTGAATGACTTTTTCTCTTTAATGAGTAGCCATGTGATGGTCTTCGGGATGACCAATCTGGTGCAGTTTAAAGGGAATCAGTTTCCACAGTAGAGGTTTGTAAACACTAAGCTGGTTTTAACACCTTCTCTGATGTGGCATAAAAAAATCACTACTCACTTTGAAAAATCTTGCTCTCAGAGCCTACTTGTGGATGTCTCTATGTCTCTAAGATAAGGAAATCGAAGCTATCCACCATTAGAGACTTCTTTTAAAATTTTTGCTCCTTATGGCTCAGTTCTAGAGCACATACACCCAAATGGCCTAGTGATCACTAGGGGAAAAATTAAGCAAACAAACAAAACCAAAAGAAACCAGGGAAATTGGTTTTTTTTTAACATTGAATCAAAAAATAATCCTTTCACAACAAGTCTTTAATTCTAGATAGCACATTATCTAAGCATTTAAACATGTGCTTAGAACCTTGGCTGCAATACTCTTTCAGTGGCAAAGTTTTTATTTTAAATGTAGCATACTTCAGTAAATCTCTGCCAGTGAGTCTTGAATATCACTCAAGTGGTCCTGAAAACAATCTGAGAGTAGAAATTCAAAAATATGAAAATTTTAGGAAATCTGAAGATTTTTATGACAATAAGTACCACAAGAGATTATGTCTAGGCCTCCAATCCTAAAAATTCCTGGAAATAAAAGATAATTAAGTTGTGTGAAGAACATAAATGTCAGCACTGGGTAGCCTGATGTAATGTGAGCCTTGAAACAGCTTGCACCACAAAGGATCATTTATTGTAGAGCAGGCTCTCTTGAAGAGCCCTTTGTGGTTACCTCTGTGGGGCTGATGATGTTTCTTACCTCAGCAATAAAGGTATGATCCCTGTATCAAGGTTTTGAAGTGGGTTTGACACAAGATGGTAGGCTGAAGGCTCAGGCTCTTCCCCATTCTTGCTGCATAATGAGCAAACACATCAAGCTTCAAGAGAACCACCTTGCTGCAGGGAATCAATTGATGTTGCAGACTTGGCAAGTGGCCTGCCCTGCTGCTTCTCCTCCCTGCTGCTGCCGTAGGTCAGCAGAAGAGCCATGGCAGGAGCACTTCTGCTTCCCCCAAACATTGCTTGACTTTTGGAAGGCCATGATGGATGGATGGCTTTTTCCCTGTCCCTTGCTGGCGGAGGGAGCTGGATGCATCAGTGGACCACCTGACAGGACATAAAGGTCCACACTCAGGCACTCTTGTCCCTTGCACTCTATATTTTGACACTGTGCAGTTTGTCCCTAATTGAGGATCTAGCCCCAGACCTCTGTTGAGAGATTTTGTCATCCTAGGGAGTGCTGACATGTCCAGTGATCTCAAGGCCAGAGGCTCTGTTTTGCAAATCGAAGACTGGCAGTTATCCTCATGCAAAGAAAATGACTGATTATATCTATTTCTAATTCATTGTTATCTGGTTCATATGCACAACAGTTGCTTAATTTTGGTGGTAATTTCCAGAAAATATTGTCTCTCTCTCTCAGCAAAATAGCCTGTCCAGATGCCCCCTTAAAAAAAAAAAAAAATCTGAATTTGGAAAAAGCTCAAAATCTCTCCAAAAGGAAAGCACTGAGAAATAACTAGAGCTGTCAGTTAGTTCAACTGTCGGTTCTCCAAAGATTTCAGGGCTTAAAAATGTTAAAAGTGCCAGATGCTATTATCTGTTATTCATGTTACCATTATGTTCTGGTCTTTGCTGAAATCAATATAAACTTCCATCTGTACATTAATGGAGTTTCATTGCTTGCTTGCTTTCTGTAGTGTGCATGCATGAATACACACATGCTCTTTGCAGAAAATAGTCGTGTTTGGACCGATTGGGGTGGTTCTGGTTTCTCTTTTAGGCTGGAATTCTTCAGAATTTTAATAGCATTTAATTATAAATCCATTCAAATGGAGAAGGAAAAATGATACATAAAGTTGGACTGTGATGATCATCACCAAACAGATTAAAAAGTGGGAAGCACTAAAGGTATTCTTCCAAAGGATTTTCTCTCCATCTAAAGCTAAATAACTGCAGAAGCACACATTCAAGACATGGTGGTCTGTGCTCAGTCCTAAGTGCAGAGAACTAAAAACTATGATCTTTAGATCTGACCTACTTATTTTAGACAGATACAACCCTTTTTGGACCACATACAATGATGTAAGGTCCTAGAAAGGCAAAGTTTTAGTATTCCTTTGCCTGTGTTCCCTTTGCACTGTCTTCCTTTTACAGCTTATACACATCTGAAGATTTCATGCTGCTTGAATACTACCTAGTTTTCCAGAAGGTGCTAAGACAATGCTGAAGAAATTGCCTGTTTAAATGTCTATATGTCTTCCTCATTCCTGGGAAATATGCTAAGGGAGGTTCACTAGGAACCAAACTGCACAATTAGATTTTTTTCTTTTTCAAAACAGCAGTTACTATGAAATTATAGATGTTTGTGTATGCATGTAAATGGTTTTTAAAAAATTACTCATCTTGATAAGTCAATTCAGGAAATTCACCATTAAGATTTAAAAAAATAAACAAATCATTATTTCAAAGATAGAAAATTAGAATACTGCAATTCTTACTCTAATATTAGTTATACAGGTGGTTGTAGATGTACTCATGACAACCTTCATCTTGCAATCTTATTTTTGTTAAATGATTCAGTGAAGCATCATTAAATGAAGCTGTGTACTGCAATACTGCAGTATTTTGTCAGGCCTTCATATACATAATTCTTGATCAGTCTTCTCTGCGCAGCAGGTGTCAGACAGTGACATGATGAGTAACTCACAAGTTTCTGATCCACCACCATCAAAAGATCAAAAGGTATATTCCATTTGAGATAAAGAACACAAGGTCTCTATATAAAATTACTCATATAGCCTAGAGCACAAACAGTTATGGCTACTTTTGCTTGCTGCAGGTACATCCTGAGTTAGACCACACAGCCCAGTGGGGTGCCAGAGTGATCTTTCCACCACCCTCTACTCCAACCTGCTCTCAGTTGTGCCTTTGATGAGAGGTGGAAAAGGCTTATGTGTGTCTGGTCTGGATACATAGTTATGATCCAGCCAAGTCATGCACTAATTTTTTAGAATCACGGCATTGGTCCTCAATTCAGTGATACAGATGTGGCCTATCAGAGTTTGTTTTTAGAGAGAAAAATGATAGGCTAGCCTTCTTCAGCTTCCATTAGATTAAGCGGAAATAATTTCACCTGTATTTTTTGAAGTTATTTTAACATCTGACCCCTTCCAGCTGGCAATGGAAGGTCACCATTTTCTTATTTCTTTTGGAAGCTTTTGATTTTACACTGCTTATGGTCCCTTTAGGAGCTTGCATTTATGTATATATAAGAAAGGCAGATCAGAAATTGTGGACAGAAACTCTAAACCATTCTGAAGATTTCACCGGCAAGAAACACCCACATGTGCCACTGGAACCAGGATTTCACTCAGTGTTGGAAAACATTCTTTGAGCTTTCTTGAATCTTGAACAAAGCTGATGTCTGTTTTTCCACTTGTGGTTTTTTTTTAACATTTTAATGGCCATGTTTGGAGGACTTCCAACTCTTATTTCTGTACTAATATTTAAACAATAACTTTCATTGGTTTTACCTTTCTCTCTTACTCATCTGAAGTTTTCCTTTAGAAATAGCATTCTGAAAGCCTGAAATATATCAGGGTTGTTTTGTTGGTTTTGTTCTGGGTTTTTTTGTTGGTTTGTTTTTTTAAATTTTAAAATAATTACTCAATAATTACTATGAAAGTGTGCTTAGAAAAGCTGGATATATGCATTTTTGCTTTCTATATTTATATCAGATTAGATTATTGCTGAAGAAACTAACACCACAAATAGGGTTGCAAAAATCAATAGTAATTGATGCAGCAATTATATGGCATGGTTTCTATACATGTGTGTAGCGTGAGTTTCAGTAGGCAGTAGGTAGCCAGTACCAGAAAGCAGAAAGAAGTCATATTGAGGATCCAGTCTCCAAACAGGCAAAGATGAGCTGCCAGCATTGAGGACCATATGGAAGCTTTATCAGAAGAAACGCCCCCGCAGAGCTTACATGTCCCGTTAGGCAGAATCTCCGTTTTCAGTCCAGATTCTCCTCAGCTCTCTGCTCTGCACTAACAGCTCTGCAGACATCCCTGCCCCTCTGTCCTGGCACAGTTGTCAGCTGCGCAAGTCCAGAGCATCTATGGCAGCAGCCCTGTGAGTTTAGCAGGAGCTGGGAGTTTCTCTTCTCAACTACAGGCAGCAGTTTCTGCTCCCACAGATGGTAATCTCTGGGTGATAACCACCTGAGAGTATTGGAACTGAGTCACAAAACCAACGTGAAGTCCCAGAAGGGATTAATAAATCTTTGATAATCGATGCTATGTGTTTTGGAGAATTCTTGAATGATAAAATATCCAATGAGCAACCCTCCAGAAAGGAAATACTTGTCTTTGATAAAAGTAATAATAACTGAAGGCATTCATTCTCAAAACAGTATAAACCAAGCTATTTTGAAGTGATCAAAGAAGGTTCTTCAGAAAACAAAAATGTAATTTCCTTTCAGGACTCCAAATTTCCAAAATGCCTTCCCAAAGAAGTGAATACTTGTCGTCCATCCCATCCATCAAACAGCACTGCAGTAGTGATGATTTTAACCTATAAGTAGTAGAAATCAAGAACTACCTTAGCAGCCTGCTAGTAAGAAAATTTAAAAGTGGTTTTCTTCTTATGACTTTTAACAAGAATCTGCTCTTCGACCAATACAATAAGTCATTCCATTATACAGACCTGAAAGGTTTGCATGTACTTGTATGTTGATGTAAAATTGTGGGTTTTTTTAATTTATGATTGCAATTTTTTAATTCACAGTACAATGGTATGCATTTCAAGTGTATACAAAACCAGGTGATCTACTCACACAGAAAAAAAAAAAAACAACAAGCAACTCTATAACAATAACTATTTTTATTTTCTCTGTACATTTTCCTTTGGCCTTTATCACCATTTTATAAATCAAACCCCAGTTTTCCCTATATAAGGCTTAAACCAGCATCTACCTTCAGAAATACTTTCACGACATTATTAAAAGTCTACCTATGAGAACTTGAAACTATGAGGTACGAAACTTTCTTCATCTCTCTCTGGTGTTTCTTAAAAGTCAGGGGTTTTTACTGTTTTTCTATGACGTTCTGTTCTTGTTGCAGCAAGTTATTTTTTTAATATATGAGAGGCCGTAAAGAGAGAAACCTTTAGTAACATTCTCATCTAATATTACAGAAAGATCCAGTGAGCTCTCCAGAAAACATGGAGGAAAAGAAGTATCCAGGAGATGTCTCCATACCAAGTCCTAAACCCAAGCTCCATTCAAGAGATCTCAAAAAGGAACTCATCACGTGAGTCACAAAAAATACCATGTTTTCCTTTGCCCTGTTATAGGCTGTCTATGTCATTGTTCTGACTGCTGGTTTGGAGTAGATTTGCAGGTGCTGAGCAAGGGGACTTGCATGACTGCAGTGAGTTAGTTCCCTCTTCTGGGTTTGCAACTTGATAGACATGAGGTTTGGAGCTGAAGCAAGCCAGGGTAGTGCAGGACAGGTTCATGACTACTGTTATACCAGGTATCACTCCTTAATCCTCAGGTGAAAAGGTAGCAAATGGGCAACAGATCCTTCTACAAAGCACACAGGTTGGTAGCATGCTGCAGACTGACTGTGCTAATGCTTGCATGATTAAACTTTATTTGGACAGTCATCAATATAGATTAATTGAGAGCTTGTGTAGAAGTGCTCAGGATTTCTCAGACAAGAACCATGTAAAGTTCATAAAAAGATAAAACACAAGGAAGGAACTACCCCAGGGTGTTATAACCTGTAGGAAATCTATGTTTAAGTCCTTCATCTGCTTCTTTCAAAGCAGAGTTAGTTATTCTGCCCTGCTGAAAATCCAGTGATGCACAAATTAACACTCTAGGAGAATAGTGTTCTCATTTCCCAAGTAAAGAGACTCATTTGCTTTGTTTAAAGTTCCAAAACTTTACTATCTAAAACTGCAAAGAAATTATGTTAAACTTTTGTGCATGCAACAGCTTGTTTCAGTCTAGAATCATTCAGTAAAGTTGTCCCAACTATCTCATAACTTTTTAAAATCTCATCTGGGCTCTTCACAAAACCCATTTGGATTCACCTCATTTCGATATCAACACAGGGTTTTCACTGTGATAGTCAATTGGGACTTAGCAATCATTTCTAGCACTTTTCTTTTTGTCCTACACCCGAGTAGGTCTCTTCATACAAGTGCATTTGGCATTGCTTAGTGATGATAGTCCGTAATATATCACTGCAGGCTCACTCATCAATAAATGTGTCACATCCCATCACCTTGTGTCCTGCTCCCCAGATTCAGTGTCACTGAAGCCGTTAGATCCACCTCTGTCTCTAGAACATACATTTCCCTGGGGCAAGCTGCTGTGAAGAGTGATTCTTTCCTCTCATGCCATGCAGTCTGTGTGTTGTCTACTTACCACATTATATCTGCAGCTGTAGTTCATGACCTAAATTGCTGCAGGTCAGGTTTGTTTTGCCTCTTCTAAAACAAATGCATAAAAAAAAAAAAATAAAAAAAATCACAGAGAGTTTATTTGTTGAAGACTAGTGGCTTTTCTTTTGTCATATTTATTCCTTTGTGATATTGACCTGTTTTGAGATGTCTGTAAAATACTTTTCTTCTCTTGTAAATAGTAATGCCCAGAGTATTACTAGAGCAATGATCAGCTTACAGTGGCTTTAGTGTATTATATTCAGAGTGAGTAGAAATACATATCTAAAATGCAGCTGTCCAGAAAATTAAAGACACAGTTTCAGTTTATCAGAAGAACCTATAAGTAATATAGGAAACAGACTGTATTTTTATCCTATTGAGCTCAAAACTTACACAGAACAATTCAATACAGGTGGCTCCATCATGAGGAATTTTTAAAAATGACATAAGCACTTGCAGAGAAATAAATCTGACATAGTTATCTCAGTTGCAGTGAACTGTGGTTTGGACACCACCTACTAGTGTGTGCTTTTTATTTTTCTATGTTAATTCTCTTGCCCATAACTACATTTCTCATGGTTGAAATGTGCTGTGAAAATGAGGCTGATGTCTTCCTAAGGCTTTTTTACAGATTTGAAAAACTTCCTGGCACTTTGCCAGCTCAGAGAAAATAGACAGCTGAGGATCTCAGGTAGCCCTTATTTTTTAGGATTGAACACTAGCTAAAAGTTTTTGTACATCTTCTGCTTGCCCTTCTTATCTGTGTGCCCAGAGAAAGAAACAGAACTCTATAGGGTGATTCTGCAGAGTTGGTGTTAGTGTTTAAAAATACTGCAGAAGTATACACTTAATTCACCTACCTTTCCCTCTTCATGCACAAATTATATTTCTTGAGATCTCTGACCTTTTGCAGAGGACTGTATTCAGCTTGATAAATGAGCTCAGGGCTATGACTGAAGAAAAGCTGACGAAAAACAGAAGCTATAATGTCTTCTCCAGGTCATAGTTCCATCTGTGAGTATAAATGAACAGAAAGGCAAGTGTTGGGGTCTTGTCCCAAGTAACTAGTGAAAAGACCAGAGGAAATGAGTTTAAGATGTCCCAGGGGAGGTGTAGGTTGGATATTAAGAAAAAATTCTTTACTGAAATTGTGGTGAGGCGTTGGAATGGGCTGCACAGGGAGGTGGTGGAGCCACCATGGCTGGACGTGTTTAAGAAGCATTTAGATGTGTCACTTCAGGATACAGTTAGTGATTATGGTAGTTGGATTAGTTGGACTTCATCTTGAAGGTCTTTGTCTTTCCAACCTTAATGATTCTATGATTCTATATCTGGTCTGCTAAACATACCACCTTTGTACCACTTCTCAGTTCAGCTGAGACACATCTTGGAAAACTTCTGTGCTCATTCTGAGCTTCAGCTGTGTAAGCTTGATGTGCTTTCTGTTCTGCAAGCAACCATGACACCTAATTTCTCCCTTAATTCAGCAAATAAACTCAGATGTGTTTCTCAAGAAGGTGCCTTATTATAGTCAGAAGCTGAGGGATTTATTTTGGATATTACTGTTCTCTGGCATCTGTTATACAGGAGGTCCGGTCAGAAACTTCAACCCCAGCATTTATGAATTGCTGTCAAAATTTGGTACCGGTAACAAAACTGTCCTTTTAAGAACCTAAGTCATAACCAAAAAATCTACACAAAGCATGGTGGCTTTGCATTGTACAATTGGGAAAAAGAAAAAAAAAAACAAACACAAAAAACATATATATTTTTTTTAAAACTCATTTTCATAGGAAATAGGGAAGCTTTTTTTCCATTTATGCTTCAAGTAATAAATGAAAACTAAAAGTATCATGTAAGTTTTGCTAGTTTTCTGTAGTGTAATGATGAATATGATTGTCCTAAGGATGATAATATAATTCATTGAAAGGTAGGGTGAGCTGTGGAGTGTATTATATGTGCTTTAATTTCTCATTGCATGTTCTGTGCATAGCTGTCCAACTCCAGGATGTGATGGTAGCGGTCATGTAACGGGAAACTATGCATCACATCGCAGGTAAGAAACAACAGGAAGCCTAAAGAGGAAATAGAGCTACTTTGAACATTTTTATACTAAACAAATAATTTGCATAAAGTGATCCATACTGAAATGTGGCTGTTTTCCCTGTTCTTGGTATAGTTTGTGAAGGCTTAGACTCAATGTACTGGTGGAGTTAAGCAGCATTATTGCTGTAGCTGCATTCCTTAGCTGAGAGATGTAGATAAGTCATTTAATAAAGTTTGCATTTCCCTAAGTGTACAAACACTTTCTGTACAGATGCTGGTGCGTGAGATTTAAAATGAGGTTTCTGCAAATCTCTCCAGAAATGGCTTTGAAATTTATAAATCTGCTAATATAATCTGAGGATGCTATATATTTTCCTCAGAGTAGCCTACTGTCAGTCTAGGGGTTGAAACAATAATTTCTTGCCTTTTTAAGAGTAGAATGGAAACAATTTCTGCTTTTTCCCAGCCATGTGGACCAGGTGCTTTACTTGTCCTTCCTGTAGGAAACTTAAAGGAAGGACTCTGTGTAGAGCTGCCTTCCCATTCAAAGCTTTACAGAGCCTTTGGTCTTAACCCAATATCCTTCCAATAATATAAGAACTGATATTGGCTGCTCTTCCTTTGCCAAGAGCAAATATTTGAGGATATCCTTTATCCCATGATAAGTCATAGATTGTCCAGAGGTTGCTGATTTAGGGAAAAATATTCTGTTTTAGTAAAACATTTCACATTGGGTTTTTTTCAGTGTTTCTGGGTGCCCATTAGCTGACAAGACACTGAAATCCCTTATGGCTGCTAACTCTCAGGAGCTTAAGTAAGTATTGATAATATCACAGATGTTGTTATTTATATTCCATTAATATGTCCCCTATGTTAGTGCAGTTATTTATTTACATTGCTCTGAGCTACATCAAACCTTTGTCTGAAGTTTGAAGGGAGTTGGTTTGAAAGCTTTTGAGTAAATTGGAATTCCATTTTCTCCATTTGTTATTAATTATTTTTATATCCCTTTATTTTTGTGAATTAACTGGGACCTGGGGGAAAAAATTGTAAACACTAGGAGAAATGCTGCTCTCACAGTATTTCTGAATCAGAGAGAAATAGAAAATATCTAAAATGTAAGACTGGTCTGGCAAATAAGTCTCTCTGATTCAGTTAGAATAAATTAGAAATATTTAGTTAGAAATAAATCTAGCTAGGATGAATCTACAAATGAGACCAGAACTCTGGTGAATAATTTTCTATCGTTCACTGCCGTATACTATAAGTATAATGTCACTGAAGCAGACATCAAGTCATATGATTTTGTGCTGGCATAATTCTCACCATGAAATGTCACTTACAAAAGGACTGTGCACATTCTGCTATATAGACAGATGTATAGGGACATATGAATATTTCAAAAATCTGCAGTCAAGAGATGCACTGGCAACCAGTCATCTAGTCATTGAATTGGTTTTGTCAATAAGGATGTGGGGAAGAGGAAAGGATAATTAGAGTTCTTTCATAGCTTTCCCTCTGCAACTTGTAAATTGGATCCCATAATAGATAGCTTGGAAAAACTCATATATGCATGTAAAAGAGTAGAATCCCATGGCTGTCCTTTCTGTCCTTTAGGTTCATCTCTAGTCCAGGTATAAGAAAATAAAGTGTGAGCATGGCACTGCTACACTGTCCTAATGGTATTAATAGTAGGTGTGACTACGTTTAGGTTTGACTCAGAGTTTAGCGTCCAAAGATCAAATGCTAGTGGCCTTATGCCTTAGTCTTACAACTTGAATTAGAAACAAAATACTGAACTGGTGGTACCTATGGTGTTGAGACCACTGGAGGTGCAACAAAATGACAAAGAAAGGCCATTTCTATGGACAACTCTTCAAAGTAGTTCCTAAAGCCAGAAGCTAAACTGGCACACTGGCACAACGATTCATTTTTTCCACCACTGAGACTCAAATGTATAAAATTTAGGTTTACTTTACTTTAAAAAAAGCAGCACAGGGATGACTCGTAAAAATGCTGACAAATTTGAAACTGTTTGCTGAGTCACATGTATTTGTCCCTGCTTTTGTTGGCTTTCTTCCATACATAGACACTCACACAAATATTTTGAATAGTTACTCCTCATGTAGCTTCCCCCTTTGCATACCAATATGGTTATTTTTCCACTAAAGCTTCTAGAGTTTTGGTCATGCCATAAGGAAAGAGGAGCAACAGCATATGACTTAAATGACAAACTGCACACTGTATGCCATGTATAATAAGTGAGTTGTGAAAGACAAAGTCAAAGTTCATGGACATTTCACAGACAGAAATATGTTGTATAAAGCACTTAGCATTTAATTTCAATTAGCTTGAAAAAGAGCAAAAATCAAAATCTGTTCACAGACAATTTGTAAAAGGAAAAAGGGCTAAATAAAATTATTCTCCACAAATGCATCACCTTATTTTAGCTTCCTGAAAATATAGTTCAGGTGAAATTTTAAACAAAATTCTGCTTTTGATAAGTATTGGATAAATGGAATCTTACGCCAAAAACTCCTATCATACTTGAACTGGTATAGTATAGTAATATCAATGGTTAATTTTACTATTGCTGTGTAAGCAAAGGGCATAAATGCTCTTGAATCAGGCCACAAAAGTACCCTCATGTAGTTAGGCATGAATATGAAAAAGCTCTGTATTTTTTTCCAAATGTTTTTCTTGTTTAATTTGCCAGAATCAAGATACGATTTTGGCTTGGATTGTGAAACTCTAAGCCAGAAAAGATGCAAGGCTTCCATGTGATCTACAGTTTGAAAATAAGGAAGATCTGTTCAGAAAGTGAACCTTTGAGTCAGATTCAAGAATTTTTTTTATCCCAGGAGTCTTGCTGCATGGGGCAATCTAAAGTGGTCAAATTAAAACATGTTATAGCTGATGACTCAGATTTTAAAACTATAAGAGATAATTATGACTGATTATCCTCTTTCACCAAATAGATTTCTTATTAACTCTTGAAGAATTATAAAAGTGTATTTTAGAAAGATATTTTATTAGAATTTAGAAACTTTAAGGAATAGGTAGTCAATCCTATCCTTAGACAAGTTGTTGCAGTGGTGAAATGACAATTTTTAGGAGACAGTGTAGTGGTCTTTCTAGATTTCTCGAGGTTTCACCCAGCATGTTGTTATTGATCAATATTCCATAGGTGGCATGACATATTTCAGCTAAGGGTATTCTTAGGTCACCTTTGTGGGTTTGCCTTAACTACAGTTCATATCCAAGCATCCCTGTGAGCTTTCTAGGGAGGATAGGCTGGACTTGATAATCAAAAAGGTCTTTTCCAGCTTTGGTGCTTCTGTGACTCTGTACAAGTACCAGAAATGCTCCTACATCTGCAGTTCTGTGTACCTCTGGAGAGGTACCAGCAGATTAGTAATCAGCCAACATAACCCCTATATATAAGAAGGGATTAAAGGATGATCATGGAAGTTACAGGCCTATTAGTTTGATTTTGGTGCAGGGGAGTCTGATGGAGCAGATCATCTTGAGTAACATTATGCGACACATTCAGGACAACCCACTGATCAGGCCCAGTCAGCATGGGTTCATGAAGGGCAGGTCCTGTTTCACTAATATTATCTCCTTCTATGGCAGGGTGACTTGTTTATTGGGAAAGAGAAGAGTTGTGGAGGTTGTCTGCCTTGACTTTAGCAAGGCCTTTGACAAGGTTTCCCACAGCATTTTCCTGGAGAAGCTGGCTGCTCGTGGCTTGGATGTGCACATGCTTTGTTGGATAAAAAACTGGTTGGACATCCAGATCCAAAGCGTTATGTTCAATTGAGTTAAATCCAGTTCACGGCCAGTCCTGAGCAGTGTTCTCCAGAGCTCAGTGCTCGAACTGCTTCTGTTTAACATCTTTATTGATTATTTGGATGAGGGGATAGAGTGCATCCTCAGTAAGTTTGCAGATGACACAAAGCTGGATAGAAGTGTTGATCTGCTTGAGGGTAAAGAGGCTCTTCAGAGGGGCCTAGATAGGCTTGATCAATGGGCCAAGGCCAAATGTATGAGTTTCAATAAGGCCAAATGTCGGGTACTGCAGCTGGGCCACAATGACCCCCGGCAGAACTACAGGCTCAGGAAGGAGTGGCTGGAGAGCTGCCCAGAAGAAAGGGATCTGGGGCTGCTGACTGACAGCCAACTGAACATGAGTCAGCAGTGTGCCCAGGTGGCCAAGAAGGCCAACGCCATCCTGGCCTGCATCAGGAACAGTGTGACCAGTAGGACCAGGAAGGTGATCCTGCCCATCTACTTGGCCTTGGTGCAGCTGCACCTCAAGCAAATATTTTGGCAGAACCACATGACTCACACTGACAGTGAAGGTAGAGGATGGGTTGCAGAGTGTCAGATGTGTTTGGCTTTGTAGAACTAAATGTTGACCTGTCTGACTGCGGGACAAGGACTGGGCACAATGTCATGTGGAGCAGGCAGCAAGGGCAGATGTCTGGAGAGTTTGAAAGCTCCCAAGTAAATCCAGAACACCTGCCAAATACTATGGGTAGTAATTTTGGCTACTAGTTTTATCCGATATCACAGATGGAAGAACTGTTCACATAGACTGGATGTGGATTTTAATGCAGTAAGAACTCTTTGTGGAAGACATTAAGATCTGAGAGTCTGAGAATTATGGACTTAGAAAAAGCACTGAACTAAATTTAAATCTCTCCATCTGTATTTACAATTTCTGGAAGCATACAGATTTCATAACCAGATTAGAATCCAAGGTATTCCTGAGGTAATTAAAGACTTGAGGCTGAGATATTATCAATACTGATTAAATTATTAGATGATATTTCTGGTGGACTACTGACAAATTAGTAAGACGCTTCATTTGACAGACAATTAAGCTTGATCACTGGGTCAGGTTTTCAAAATACTGGTTATACCTTTGTGTGGATGGTGAAATTCCATAATACAAGATATGGCAACAATGTGCTGCCTTACAGTCAGTCATACTGTGGATCTTCATCAGCTTTTAATTGACTAATGAGTTTGAACTTGTGCCCCAGCCTAGGGATTCATCCTCTGTTACGGATTCCTGTGTAGAGCTGAGAAAATCAGATTTACATTGGAGGGCCAGAGGTCTCAGGATCTGAAGCTAAAAGATGCCAACTCTTAAGTGGGTGTAGATTACAGATTCTTGTACAAATCTCTCAGAAATTATTGTAACTATTCAGTGAGTACTCACTATTTTGTTCCCTTCTCCAAGAAGGTTGCTTTATTTTTAGGTAGATGAAGTACAATTGCAAGTAAAATTGAATCACAGAACCATTAAGGTTGGAAAAGACCTTCAAGATCTTTAAGTCCAATCATGAACCCTGCATCCTCATGACGACTAAAACATCTTCCAAAGCACCACATCTACCTGTTTTTTTAACAACTCCAGGGGTGGTATCTCCCCCGCCTCCCTGGGCAGCCGGTTCTAATGCCTCACCGCTCTATCAGTTGAGAAATTCTCCCTAATATCCAATCTAAACCTCCCCCGCCACAGCTTCAGGCCATTTCCTCTAGTCCTGCCATTATTTACTAGGAAGAAGAGGCCTCACTACAACCTCCTTTCAGGTATTTGTAGAGAGCAACAACTTCTCCAGGCTGAACAGCCACAGCTCCCTCAGCTTCTCCTCATAAGACCTGCTCTCCAGACCCCTAACTGGCCTAGCTGCCCTTCTCTGCACCCTCTCCAGCACCTCAATGTCCTTCCTATACTGCAGTGCCTACATATATATATATAAATATATGTATACATACATACATACATATATATGTGAACTTCTGAGGTCAAAGGTGTTACCAGTAAAGTCCTGCTCCAAACCCCCCAGAAGTCAGTGGGAAAGACCTACTGACTCCATTAGGCTTTTGGAGTACCTTTTCATGTATGGCCAGCAAGCAAGAAGCAAGAAACCTACCCTTCCAAACCAGCATCAAAATCACAGTAACTGGGAGGTTTCTTTTTGCTGTGTGGATGTTTTAGCATTAAACATTCACACTTGAAAGGGCTTGTTTGTTACACACACACACAGAAACCCCTTAACTCTGAGACATAAGCATAATCCAATTGCTAAACTGAATGCCCAGTTGAATCTAGTGCTAGAAAGCTATTGTATGCTTACAGTGGTAGAATATACAAATTGCTAAATTCAAATTCTGGCTCTCGTACAAATGCTCAAAAGTAAAACTGCTTCTCTGCTTCTGTTTTCCCTTCTGTAAATACTGCCAAAATGCTTATTTATATCTGTACCTGAAAACATCAGAAGAATAGCAAACAAACACATAAAAGTAAATTTACAAATAGATCTATATCAAGCTGTTTTGTCGGGGGTGGGGGGGGGTTAATGTTAATCTTCTACAGGGAAAAACACTTGGTGTATACAGTATTATAAACTAATTAAAACTACACATCATATGCAATATATTTCACATTCCTTACTAAAACTCTGTTGTAAAAGAAAAAAACAAACCAAAAACAAAACAATGAGAAGAGACTGCTATTTAAATACAAGCAAGAAGTAGCTTTAATTATTCAACAAAAGCTCTGCAGTTCACTCTTCCACAGTAGACAAAATGTAGTATGTACTCGTTATTTACTGTGTGCCTTTGAAGCTGTATTTTTTAAGCTCCCTGTATTATTCCATAGGTGCCCAACACCTGGCTGTGACGGCTCTGGTCATGTGACAGGGAACTATGCATCCCACAGAAGGTAAAAACAATCCCATCTCATGAGACTGCAGCACTCAGGGGTCTGGGTAAGCAGTAGCAACAAGATGTGGTTTTTATTCTGTGTGCTTCTTTCAGCTTATCTGGCTGTCCTCGAGCCAGGAAAGGAGGTCTCAAAGTGACTCCTACCAAGGAAGAAAAAGAAGATCCTGAACTTAAGTGAGTAAAAAAGTGGTTCTACCACCAGTGGAGGGAGAAACAAGCCCATAAAGCTCAGGGTTTGAGGCGTCACAGGAGGTACTCCAGTTAATCTGAGCCATTTGAGGATATGGCCTAGAGCTGGAGCAGAACTAAGTGTTTCTGCTTGTAACAAAGCTGGTGGAGTCCATCACCTACGAGCTTGAAAAGTGACAAAGCATTGCTATGTCTGCTTGCATTGGTACAATTATTTTAAATGGTGCTATGAAAATTTGACAAAATGAAGGTAAACAAATTATTTCTCCCTGTGGGGAAGTCTTGAAGTGTCAGGTAACTAAATCAGAGTAACACCCTAAAACTAAGTCCCAGAGAACTCAAATGTATGTCTCATGTCTTTTGTCTATAGATAAATTAAAATTTCACTTAGTAGAGATTCACTACATTTCTGACTTCAATGCACATTCCCATAAAATCAGTAAATTATTACTGCCAGAATATAGATAAGAAAGTTCATTTGCACATGATGTTGTTCTTAATACTAGCTAATGGTATATGAGAGGCTTCTTAACACTGACAGACTAAAGCAAAAAAATTCCAAACCTTTCTTTGCAAGTATTTGCATGAGATAATACATGTTTTCAAGTTACAGGAGCTCACCCTCTGCTTCATGACAGAAACCTAGATAGAGAGGAGGGAATGTTGACTTCCTACACACTTGTAGAAGTATGATTTATTGCCTGTGATGGATTTTCAATTTTCTTTTCTGGTAAAAAATACTATCTAAATGAATGTTTTAGTTTCTTAGGCCATACAACTGTATTTTAAATTGCCTAATCTCAACATCAGCTGAACCCCCATAACTCAGCTTGACATGAATTGGATGCTCAGGTACAGTGTGCCCCTAGGGATTGAGTCTTAATCCATTAATGCAAAGTGTCACAGGCAGCTGGAATTATTTTCCTGGACTTTCTTGAGACTGTCTTTGCTGGTTTTCTCCAGTGAAAATGGGGATTCTTTTGCTGTGTTTCTGTAGATGTCCAGTGATAGGCTGTGATGGCCAAGGTCACATATCAGGTAAATACACTTCTCATCGCACTGCTTCTGGTTGTCCTTTGGCTGCCAAGAGACAGAAGGAGAGTCCTGTCAATGGGTCTTCACTATCCTGGAAACTGAACAAACAAGAGCTGCCACACTGTCCTTTGCCAGGCTGCAACGGGCTGGGTCATGTTAATAATGTTTTTGTCACCCACAGAAGGTATAATTTTGTGTTTTCTCTTTTTTATTTTTCCTTAACATTCCACTGTTGAATTGGCAACATGTGAGGTTACAATCTGAATAAATTGTGCTAAAGTCTTTTAAGTAACAACCTAGTTTACATTGCAGCTGAAATAGTATGAATCAGAATAACTTTTGGAGATTTGGGATCAACTTTTTACTCTTTTTCTCTGTCCCATTGCAGTGTGAATTTGCAAGGTCTTTTCTTCTGATCTACACAGTTTCTATATGGTTTAAAATTTAATAGTTATTTCCTGGGCAAATATGAAGTTATGTCTGTATATCTTTTACACAAAATGCAAATATCATTAAAATGTCACCAGAAAAGATTTTGCAAGGGCAATGGCTGCATTAATTTCCTTTTTCTACTTGTGGAAAAACTGTTTTCATAAACTTTGTATTTAAATAGCTAGAACCACAAAAAAAAAAAAAAAAAAAAAAAAAAAGAAAATGTTGGGTAGCCAAAAGGATGAAATTTTCTATTAAACATGACAGGTTAAAAATTTCATAAATAGATTTTCTTGCCTTTCCAACTGTTCTGAGTCATATTTGCTTGATAAAACTTTTAAGAGCAAAGTGATTTCTAAAAGCCAGAGTATACTACATTGTGTGAGTTTGTTTTAAAAAGTTAAAACCACAAAAAAAAAAAAAAAAAAAAAGAAAAAGTAAATGTGTAGAACCCATATGGATTACACAAGTTTTAATAATCTTACAAAGAAAACTATCCTTACAAACTAGGAATCACACATATAACTAGTAGCAATAAACACCCTTTCTAACCAGCTTATACATACAGCTGGACCACCGTCAAGATCATGTTGGTTAAAAGGAGGTAGCAAATCTAGCTTTATGATATGACATCTTTTTCAAGGACATTTGGAAACTTACAAGTAATCCATGGATTTGAGATATTCTTCCCATTAGCTATGTGCTCTAGGTAAAGATATGAAGCAGCATTTTTTAGAGCTGGAGAACTAGTATCTTTACCAATATAGCTTTTAGTATGAAGTTAATTTTAACCCACAAAAGCTTCCTGCCCCCCCCCTCCCCCCATGTGGAATCACCATGTCTCTTAGAATGTTGAGGTTTTTTTATTTTTACACACGCATAAAAATCAACTGTTTTCCTGTGGAATGAAATTTTCCTTCACTCGTTACTTGGCTACATCTGAATTCAAATTCTTCTGCTTGTTCTTCAGCATATGAGTATTTCTTCTTTGTTATTTATAAAGGTAGTATTAAGACAGTGCAATTCACCTTAGCTCTTTAGTGAGCTATAAAAATTTCCTCAGATAATTACCAGCTGATGAAATTGTAAGCTTTGAAGTAGCAAAACATAATTTAAAGTGAGCAGTGGTTAAAAAACACACTGACTATATAATAGAATCATTCAAAAAAGCTATTATACTCTATAGGGTATATCTAGAGTTATTATTGTATTGATCATTATTATGTATAAACAAAATGATACAATAGTTAAGCAGTGTGGAAATCTTAGTGTTACCGAAATATTTTTTTTTGGACAATAAACTTGCCATTTTAAAGGACCATACTGCCTCTCTCCTCAGGGGCACAAGCCCTCAATAAAAACAATAAACAGTTTTAATTTATATGTGTTGGAATTTCAAGAATTCTGTCAGTGTATCTTCACACAACTTAGCAGTAGCTGCCATTGTTATTTTGATTATTCTGAAATAAACTTAAGAGTTGTTTACTTATAAGTTAGATTTCAGTGCCAATTTTCAAGCTAGAATATATAGTTAAATGGCTCTTTATGAGTTATGTCATTCCCTGAAGCTATGCTATAATGGAGATACTGATGTGACCTTAGGTACAGAGGTCTGTCCAAGTGCATGATAATATTGCCTGAAAGGATTGTTGCCATTTTCAAGTGGGTGCTAATGTTTTTTTCCTATCTGTTTCAGCCTGTCTGGTTGTCCTCTGAATGCACAAGCCATAAAAAAGGGCAAAATTTCGGAAGAATTAATGACTATCAAGCTTAAAGCAAGTGGTGGTAAGGAGATTTGTAAAAGATGATGACATTTATTTAGATAGAAGGGCCCTGACTCCCATTTATACTTATGCCCTTTTGTGCCATTCTGGCATTAATTCTCACTCCTTTCAATTGTCTCTAATAATAACAAATCTTGAATATAAAAAATATTTGCATGAGAGATTATAAAATTATTCTCATTTCCATCATGATAACATTGAGAGTATGCTCTCATCTCAGAGCTTATTTTTTAGTTTATTTGGAGATGCTTTCAATATTATTATTGTTTACAAATTAGTAGTTATAGGTCAGAAGGACTTAGCTATCTGATGACCAAGGTAAGAAGGAATACATATTGACTCCATCCCTAAGTTGAATACTACATGGTTTAGTATCCGTGCAGTACTTGGACAGACACCCAAGTGTTATTACCAAATAGCTAGAAGGGGAAATACGTAGGAGTCTCCTTTCTTATACAGCGTGCTTTAGAAAGTTGGGCATTGGGCCAGGTTCAGGGAACTTAGTCTTTATGCTTCCAACTGCTGAGGAAAACGGTCATGTTTATGTTGGGCAAACTAGTTTGCATCCCTGTGTCCATGTTTTCACTGGGGCAGGGCCTGCTGCTAACAGTTCCCAAGCTGGCTCCCCCATAGACTCAGTTTAGGGCTCTGAACTGGGTTTTATGGATAAATGACAACAGCGGCACAAATCTCTAGGCAGAGATAATCTCAGAGTGACACTAAGCAGAAAGAGGGACATGTTGCCAGGAGTTGTAGCAGTTCAGTAGTTTTCTTGAAGTTATTCTGCACAGAGATTTGCCCCCATAGAACTTCTTGCAAGATCAAAAGCAGGTACAGATGAGCTTACTGAAGTCAGTAATTATAATAGTGGAGATTTTTTTCTGTTCCCTGCAAAAGGCTTGCTGTAGCATTTATTTTAAATCAAAACAAAAATGCCATTGCAAATACGATTTCATATTTTATTATAAACTTTCCTCTTTGTAGGCAATTTTTGCCTTTCTGTAACTTCCAGGTTGTAGTTTTATGTTGCACTGGAAAAAGAGGATTGTGAAGCACAAAGACTCAGGAAGCCCCTTCTGTGTTTCAGCTTATATAGGTGTTTTACAGCTAGGAAACAATTTTGACAGTAAAAGCAAAGTAAGATGCAATTTAAGGATCAATAGTTTGATCAAAAGCTTTTATCTTCATCTTATTCAGTAACAGGTAACACAGCTTGTTACTCATATATAATTTACATATGGACACTTAAAACCTGATTTTCAACTATTTGCAGGTATTGAGAGTGATGAAGAAATCAGACACTTGGATGAGGAAATAAAAGAACTGAATGAATCCAATCTTAAAATTGAAGCTGACATGATGAAACTTCAAACCCAGGTATGACATTTATATGAAAGTTTTACCTTTTTGTATGCTATATTTAAGCACAATAAAGAAATTAAATGCTATGCAAACATTACATTTAAACATGGTCTCCTGTGCACTTGTTTACCCATCACCCTGTGGCACTGAAAAGTACCCAAATCTTACATGTTTTTTAATCAAGTTTTTGTTTCTTTGTATTCTGTAAATCATCAGCAGATTGAAGGGTATTATCTTAAAGATTTGGTGAAAGAAAAATTCAAGGCAGTTTGGAGCTAATCTTGGCAAGCAGAAAAAACATATTTACCAAACAAAGGTTTTACTTTGTTGACCAAACATCTGTTGACCAAACTGTGCAGAATCCAATGACTGTGGTTTTTAGGGAGGATATTACCTCTTACCAGCATACTCTAACTCTTAATGCAAGTTGACTTTATTCTTATGTGTAGTAAGAAAATCTCCCAGTTCAGTTCACCCACTGTCGTTTATTCAAATGGTCTGAATTTTGCCTCCAGGCAACACCTGGTAAAGAATGGATGTCTTTTACTAAATTGTGTAGCAGAGTAGCTTAATGGGAGCTATGGAAAAGAGTAATTCTCTTTTGCTCCTTTGTATACTGAAGGGATTAAGTTGGCTTTAAGACACTGATAGTGGTTCTATGGAGTATGCTTAATATGGTCATCCCTACAGAGACTCCAGTATGCACCTGAGAGTCACCTGGGAAGACTGAGTAAAAGCAAGAGAGGAAGCTTGCTTATTATTTTAGGAATAAGTTTAAGAAAAACGTTCCTAAATGAGCTCTGGGAACTGAATATAAGTCTAAACTGATCTAAACCAAACTGAATGTAACCATACCCCTCTATATTTCTGCCACACTGGAGTGTTAATTCTTCCTGGTTGTGTAATAAACATTGTGTGTATGGTCTAAATAAAGGTCAAGTTTATGCTGCATCTAAGTGATCTGGCTTCACACTGCAAGTGTTTTGGGGATATCCATCCCAAATTGCACAGCAGTGAGGGAGGGGATAATGTTCAGTGTCACTGGACATTTGCTTCAGTTCTTTCTGGTGGTCACTGTGCTATTTGCACAGAGAACACGTAGTTTATGCCATCAGATATCTGTCTCCTCTGATTTGCTCCCTGGTGATGGCATTTTGACCATTAAAGTCTGAACTGAACTACAGCTGAAGCAACACCTCCTACATGGCTTGCTCTGTTTCCTTTCAATGTGGCCCAGCTGGATGTTAGGCTTCTGTGAGTACCCTCAGGAGGACAGGTTGCAGTGGATAGCAGGCAGTCAAAAAGGGTTCCTGTCCCTGGGGACAGTTCAGATGTGTGACCGGTGTGTGAGGAAGGAAAGTCCGGTGGCCACAGCAAGGGACATTTCTATAGTGCAGAGATGTGCATGCTAATGAGGAGACCGGTGAATGTAACAGCCATGGGTGCAACTCCATGGCCCTGTTTCTTGCAGAGCCCTGGCCAGGCACAGTGGTGGCAGCTCTTGGTTCTGCCCTGCCCTGCTGCGTCCCTGCCTGCTGCAGGGGGGCAGCTGGGCAGAAGGGAGCCAGACACTGCCACTGATGCATTCAGTTTTTCAGCACTGATTTTGACATACAAGTCTTAAGAGCTGAGTAGAATCCCAGGGCTCTCATGCTAAAAGGATACTGTTTTGCTACCTCAAATACTTTCTCCTGCTCTTACCAAACTCCTTGTTTCCAATCTGTTGTTCAGAGATCATCTTTGCAACGATGGTTCTGCGCTCAACCTCGGTTTCCTTTCCACTCTTTTTCTCTTATTGTTTCCAGTGCTAGCCCTGCCGCTAATCCCAACCAGCCTACAGCTCTGCCCTCCACCCAGGAGCAGGGCAGGAAAGTAGCACAACAGCTAATACCCATCCCCTTGCTATTGTGGTCAATTAGCAGGGTTGCTGTAAGAGCAGGACAACAATGTAAACATAAGCTGCCTTTCTCCTTCCCTCTGCCAGGCCTGCGGCCACACTCAGCATTCCAGCTCCACAGAGAACTTCCCCTCTCTGCCGAACTCCTTTCTCCTACTGCAGGGCACTCTCCAGTGCCTCACTGCCACAGGGTTTCTCCGTGAACCAACAGCAAAGTCCATCGGTTCAAATTGAGTACAACCTCTTCCTTGTGCTGAATATTCTGTGGAGAAACAGAACTGAGTTTCAGATCCATTGCAGCTTTTCTCATGATCACACGACTACTGTTTTGGGTGCAAACTTCAGTGACAAGGGTCTGTTTCTGTTTGTTCTTGCTGTTGTGTTTCAGATTACATCTATGGAGAGCAATTTGAAAACCATAGAAGAAGAGAACAAACTCATAGAGCAGAACAATGAGAGCCTGTTGAAGGAGCTAGCTGGCTTAAGCCAAGCCCTCATCTCCAGCCTTGCTGACATTCAGCTTCCACAGATGGTAAGACCACAGCCAGCAGCTTCACACCTTCTTTGAGACTGTTTTGCCAGCACTTGAAGCAGATGAGCAAGCTCAGGGACCAGCAGGAGCACTGGAGCTGCGTTATCAGAGCTTTTTTAGCCTAATTTACTGTGCAGAAATGCTGGATCATGAAATCTGTGTGATGGCAGGCACAGTTGCTTCCAGGACCAAGCCAGCCCTGGTATCTCTGCTCTGTACTGCACTCTGCAGGACAGGCTTTTCCCTCATCCCTCCCTATCTGAATGTCCACCCTGCACAAAGAGTGAAAACTTCACAGCGAGAACCTTTATTTACTCTGCTCCTAGATCAAAACTTTAAGCTCTTTCATACAGGTGATTTTTCTGGAGCCAAAAAAAGCTGTACCTTCTCAAAAAGTCCAGGTCCTTGGTGTCTAACTTGCAAATACAGGCCAAATTCACAAAGGTACTTGGGTCTCCAGAGTCACAGTCACCTTTCCCAGTCTCAAGAGTGCCACTGGGAAATTAGGTGAGAAGAGTTATGGGGATGTCAGCCACAATCCCAGATCCAAACAGGCCACAACAAAAAAGCAAGTTACACTGATGATAGTATCTCCAAGTCCTTTCCTTGCTTGGAGATTGTGTGGTTCCCCCAGCACATGCAGCTCCCTTCATTTCTACATACCCCTCCACTAATTTGGATGGCTGCCCTGTTTACAGCTTCTCCCCATTTGCCATATCACTGCTTCGCCATGCTTTGGGGTTGAGTGTTTGGGGGGTTTTTTGGCCTTAATTTTCACTCCTACAATTATAATCTGTTTTGTCTTCATTTAGGGGCCAATCAGTGAGCAGAATTTCGAAGCATATGTAAATACACTCACAGACATGTACAGCAATCTGGAACGGGACTATTCCCCCGAATGCAAAGCTCTGCTGGAAAGTATCAAACAGGCAGTGAAGGGCATCCATGTGTAGGATGTGAAAGCTGCTGGGCAACAGAAATTACTTAACAGCAGTAAACTCCAGATGGATCTGTTAGGAGTTCATGTACTGCTAAGGGGTGTAGGTTGCCATGCTGCATTTACAGTTGCAACATTGCACTAATTTTTTCCCAGCTGACATAAAAAGAAAAAAAAAAAAAAAAAGAAAGAATAAAACCACAACAGACTATTTGTATTAACAGCAATGCACTCTGTTAGTATATTGTATTTATTTCAGTACAATTCCTTTTTTTTCTTCTTTTGCACTCAGTTTTTGTAAAGTGAATGTAAAAAGTGTGTGCAACTATTTTTTATATTTTTTATTTATTTCTAATCAAAGAGTTGTGTTTTTTTATCTTTTAACAGCATTTTTGCGGCCTGCCATATTTTTACAAATGTGTTTATTAATTTATTTTCCAACGGGATTTTAAATAGACTGAAAAGTTATACTGTAAATTAAATAACATGCTGGGTTTGTACAGGAAGAAAAAAAAAAAAAAAAACCTTATGAAAGTAACAAATGACTGAACCATGGTTCTAGTTTTATTTTCCTCACATCCTGCTTTTTTATAATGGCTTTGTATCAGAAATGGGTTTGCGGTAACACGAGATGTGAAGATGCATGGAATGAGAAGATAAACGGCTCCCACTAGTGGGGAACTTGGGCTCTTAAAAGCACAGTATGCTGGAAAACAGTGTGTTAAAGAATATGTTAGCAATAATGAAATATTGAACCATGGTTCTAGTTTTATTTTCCTCACATCCTGCTTTTTTATAATGGCTTTGTATCAGAAATGGGTTTGCGGTAACACGAGATGTGAAGATGCATGGAATGAGAAGATAAACGGCTCCCACTAGTGGGGAACTTGGGCTCTTAAAAGCACAGTATGCTGGAAAACAGTGTGTTAAAGAATATGTTAGCAATAATGAAATATAGCAATCAGCAAAGCACTTGACTTGGCTGTGTGATTTAGCCTATGCGAATGGTTATTTAAAATGCTTCAAGAGGACTTCAGATTTATTTTATCACTGCAGTTTTTTCGCAGTTAGCTCATGGATGGAAATGACAATTATCTCTGAACGAGGAGGATCATTTGATAGGACTGGTGCTTTTTTAGTATGAGACATTGAGGTTTTAACCAAGTGACCAATATTGCTATGGATTTGGATTTGAAAAACACAAACACATCCCAAGCTGAAGGCTTTGTATATAATGAATCGAACCCATCTCCCCTGAAATGGCATTTAATACTGGTTTGAACTTAACGGCAGCTGAGAAGGCAGCACTCTAGGGGGGTAATAATACCATTCCAGTGCAACGGTGGTTGCTTTTCTCTTTGGACGAAGGGTAGCAACACCGTGACTGGTTTCTCCCATCCTCCTTCACTAAGACTAGGCTGATACTGAATTTGATACCAGTCTTTTGGTAGGGTACCAAGTGCTACAGAGCATCCAGACAGAGGGAGGTGCGGGCAGACGAGCACTTGCGTGCGGTGCTGGCGCGCACCGCGGTATCTGGTTAGCCTGGCTGTGGGACTTCTGAATCCGTCAGAAGGTAGTGGTTACTATAACAGAGGCAATGTCTATTTCAGGGATTGTAAGTAATTTAGCATTGTTTCAAAAGTTGTTTGGTTTTTTTTTTTTATATATATTTTTTTTTTTTTAAGAAAAAGGTATAAACAACCAGCTAAACTGCCTTTTTTGTATGCACACACACCTCATGTGCATATGTGCCTCAGTGTAAATGTATACATGGATCTAGCGTCTGTTTAATTTTTCCGTGCTATAATGAAAGTGTTTATTTTTATTAGCCTCATTTATATTTAGATCGAATATGATGGTCTTCACAGGCTTGACATATACAATTATATTATTACTGTTCCTGCACAAAAGTACTATTCAAAAGTGATTCAACTCTCATGCACTGTGGTCACTGTTCTGCATTAGGTGGGGCTTGCTTTTTGTTTGAGGGTTGATGCAACTCTCCAATCTTAGTTTAGACAGGGGAAAATGTATGTTCTTAGGAGCTGTGTTTATTTTTTAAATCGATTTTTCAAAAGCTACCATATGTGCTGTCTAATATAAATAGGAGGACACCAAACAAAAATTTGCTATTAAAGTTATTGTTCTTGCTAAAAACAAACAAACAAACAAAAAGCAAACATTTGTTATACTTGTTAAATGCATACAAAGTGAGTTCACTCATTGCAAAGACTAAAATTTAATCTACTAAATATTTTAACAAATTTGTTATATATTTTATTTAAGTAAAAAAATCACTTTCTGACCTATGTATTTATTATTATTATTTACTATGGCTTCAGGTTAATTTATCTGTGTTTGGCTGTTTGCTCAGGATGTTTTGTGAAGTATGTTTGTATTTATTTGCCTCCCTTGTACTTGATGTGTTTTGTAATGTGCACTGATTTTTTTTCTTTTATTTTCTTTTTTCTTTTTTTTTTTTGTGTTTAAATGCATTAATGAGCTATACTGTAAATTAGACCTTTTGTAAAGAGCAATGATGTATGCATTTTTTAATTTGAAGTAGTTTGTATACTGTTTCTTCATACAATTAATATTTCTTACATCAAAACAACAAAATTGTGTTCTGTGCTGTACATTTGGTGTATGGTAGGAAATAAAATTGATAATGAAACATTGCAGCAAGTTTGTTGGGTGTTTTAGCCTTTAGATGCCGACTTGTATTACACTTTTTTAACTGCACCTGGCACTATATAATGTGTCAGATGTTTTTCTTGCTTTGTGTACAAAATGTGTCATCCCTGTAAGTAAATTTCTAGTATAAATAATGTAGTGTTTTACTTTGTCAATTTGAAATAAGGAGGAGGAAAATGGAACTGCTTAAGAAGTCCTTTACATGTCTGAGGGGAAAAAAAATCAAGCTAATAATCACTGCATTATTCAATGCATTCTTGTCTTGGCAGTTGTAGACTTCATTTATACTGATAAAGTACAGGATCTGTGCTGACCTTTAACAGCTGCTAAATTATGTTTAAACATAAAAGCCATTGTAAAGTTTCCAGCAATTTGGAACCGCCCACTGTTCCAGTGCAATTTTCTGCTGAGATTTGCAGTGCTTAGACATTGCACAAATAAAAATCTGCTGGTTTTAGAAAGACAATATTTCCAGTATCTAATGGATTTCCTTTTCTCACTGCTCATTGTAGCGAAAACAGGTCAGTTTTATTTGGATGCATGCTAATGGATTCAGGAGTGTTTCTCGTCTCAGATTCAAACTTCCCATGGATAGACCAAGAATAATTTTCATTTTGAAAATAAGCTATATTTAAAGTACATACAGTACCTGAAAATTACTTATTTTAATATGGGTAGTAGATAAACAAAAATGGACTCTAACACTAGAGAAACTGACATGCTCTGCTTTTGAATAGAGCAGAGCTTCAATGTTTGAATTGTGACTTGAGTCCTGGATACTGACAAATTTTGCCCAGTTTGGAGCTGTAGAGTCAGCAAAGGGCTGAGCTGGAGACAGATCTGTCCTGGAAGTTTTTCTCCATTGGGGTTCCGAGTTTCCTTTGTTCTAGGACACTTACCTAAGCACAGCATGAACCTGTTCTTCAATAATGAATAGTTACTTAGTATTTCTTTATATTTCTTAATGCATACAATTTAATTTTTTATTTATTTTTTTTTCAGGGTCCTTTAGAATTACTGTTCAACTTCAGCTGTAGACCTTTGGGTCTATCATTAAAAAAATAATCTCTTCTTACACATCACAGATGAAGCAGAAACGTCTCCCTTAGCAATGAGCCTTAGTGGTAAACAGATGAAGACTGAGGCAAACATTTTTATTTTGTCTGACTGCCTAAATTCAAATCACAAATTTAGAAGGCACTATTGTCAGATAGGCAGCTCCCCACAATTGTTGTGTTTTTTTTTTAAAGTTCTATATTGATTCTTATTTTCTTCTGTTTATAAGATCAGTGTAGTGCAGTGATATAAGGATATTAGGCTCTATGTACACCTAAGAAAACAGTGTTGTATTTCCAAATGTTTTCAGAAATCTGAGATAGGAACTGTGAGCAAAGAAACACTTTTCCTAATAGTTTTGCATAAGAAATAAATCTACAGTTAATTGATTAAATTATTATTATCTGAAGACTGTTCCTGCATTCATCTTTAAACAACTTGATCTGATCATGTTAATTTCAATGTCCAAATAGTGGTCTCTTTCCATTAAAAGAAAAAAAAAAAAAAACAACAAATAAAAAAGTAAACTGCTAAGCCACATTCATTACTAATTTAACATAAACCATGGGTGGGGGGGAACCAACAAAACAACAAAAACTGTTGTGTTTGAAATAAACTTTCAAACCATTTCCATCTTCTAAAGTTTTTTCAATTTTTAATATTTTTTCTGTACCTATTCCTATAGAAGTGAGAGAAAGTGCTTAATTCAGTAAAGATTTATAAATTCCATTGATTGAATTAACTTCAATGGAATTGAAGATTTAGACATCTGAGAAGAAAAAGGAAAGAGAACCATCAACATTTGCTGCCCTATTCGCTCAGGAAGTCTATCCTGTTTCTTAACTGATCATAATAAAGATTTTTAAGTCTATGATGCAGAAAAAAAGATTCTGTTTTTTAGTGCAATCTTTTTTCTGTTTATTAATTAAGCACCTCTTTTCTGCTGCTGACTTAGTGTATCTATCTAATTATGTCATGGCTTTTCCACTCAGTGGAAAAGTTACAGGATTTCTTGATGGGAATTTGTTATCATGCAATGATGTAGTTATGACAGAAGCCGTCCCCTCCGTTTGCTCATGTTCCTTCTATGTTATACATTTTATCTATCGTGGCATTTCTGCTATGCTAAAAGTTTCTTTATGATTTATGAAGCTGCATAACTTGGGTGCTGCTAGGAGATTTGCACCAGACAAAGTCCTTTGTTCATCTTGCTCAGGATACTGGGGGATGATAGAGCTCCATTTGGCTTTTGTGTAATGTAGGACAGTGACCTAGTTTCAGTACCTTTCAACATCTCATTCCGGCTTGATTTTCTTCTGTCTCTTTTGCTCTAGTA